TCTATTGAACCGCCTTGTTTTACAAACTTAGATTTCAATTTACCGCATGAAGCACACGCGGCTTTTATCATTAATCTTCCGTTTTTTGTTGTAACATATTGAGGATTTACATTATCGGTGTATGTTCGTTCTTTTTAAACAATATATTTGTTTTTGTAAACTCATTTATATATATTTTAATTATAAAAAAGGACTCGTCGGTTCCCGCCTGTATTCTATTTATGAGTAGTATAGAATATGATGGTTCCGGGGGGATTTTGGCCTGAGGGTGTTCTTAAATCAATAAAATGGGGTTTTATGTCGAGCTGTCTTACTTTTTGGGTTGATGGGTAAGCTATGTCGAGCTGTCTTACCATTTGGTTTGATAGATAAACACTTTTTTAGGCTTCAAAGTGTCCCGGAACCATCATATTCTATACTACTGAGATCATCGGAGTCAACAGTTTCGAAAACGTGCAATTTGTTGCGATAAGGATGTAGACTTGCAGTTGTGTTTGAGACGTTGTAACTTCAGTGCAACCAGCGACACACAGTATGCCAATTGTAGCAATCAATGTGATTCTAATAATGGAACTTTGATTACAAAACCTACAGGTATATATTAGTTACATCACGTAGGAATTGCAAATGTATTTTTTGGTCATACCAACAAAGTTAATGAATGCAACTGTACCGACTTTCTAACTTAATTAGAAGGCGGGATATTCTAGGTAGTCTATCCCTACACATTCGGTACATTTTAACCAGCAATTAATGATTTGTAGTCTTTCATGACCTAATAAAAAATTTAATTTAATGGAAGATTACACAAATAAGAAGAGAAAGCGTAGTCACCCATTTACTTTGTTAATATAATTTTGGTGCGAGTAATAACCTACATATTATGTACACTGCCTTCAAAAGTAAGGTGATCGTTTGATGGCAACATAGATAAAAACATATGTAGTTGGGCCAAACTTAGCCTGTTTGTTTGAGATAACGGGACTTCCAAATTCAATCACGGACCTTTACACCGGTCACACCGGTATTCGATGCACACTAAAGTATTGAAACAAGTATTCCCGAAGGACCAGAAATGAGTTATTAAACGACAGCAACATTTAACAGCAACCCGCCAAACAATCAACACTTACTGTTATGAGTATAAAGACACTAGAAAAGGGTGGTCCGTCGCATGCGAAAAAAACCGAAAACATATAGCTGAAAATCGCACAAGATTATTAAATTAGAAAAGTCCGATACTTTGTGATATTGTGTCTAGCTAAGGAAGAAGTATATGTTATTGATGTACGGGATATCATAACCAAAATTAGATTTTTTATTTTAGACTTACTGTACTTTACTTTATTAAATGGGATATTTTAATTTGCATATTTATTCATATTTGGTGAATATTAAATGTAAATGTGTATATCCATAGATCCGTAGCTAAATGACAACTCTTCTGATCTAATATACACTATTCTTCAAATCAAGCGAATGTTTATTTCCCTTATGCTTGCAGAAAATTTTCTATGCGGCAGAATGTTGATGACATTACAAGATAACAGAGCTACATTGAAACTGGCAAATATTTGACTGGATTATAGTATATTCCAATTATATTAATTAACATTGAAAAAATTACACAATACCTTTCAAGTTTTGTGCGCGAATGTTACCGTAAACAAATAAAGTCAGGTGATCACCCACCCTGTTATCAGATAACAGCGGAAAAAAACTACAAAAGTTGTACAAAATAAGTATTCAATATATTAACATAGCAAAATAACAAGTTTTAGCATTTTCAAAAATGCCTGAATGGGTATAAGGATGTTGTTGTTTGACATGAAGATTGTATTTCAATTTTACACCTATAACACGGTGTAGGTTACCCTTCTACAACATGGCGGATGGTGTGCCCTGTAGGCGCCAAAATTTCAGATCTTTTGGTGTCAATTTGTTATCATTTGGTATTAATTAAATTTCCCACTGAAAACTGGGACAACTAAAAATTGAATAATATAAAATTGCTTTTTGATCACGAAACAATTGAATGGGCGAATACATGCGGAACACTTCTATTAAGATGCATGGTATATACGGGAATATGATGAAGAGCGTGTAAACATATCATAATTCGAAAAATAATTGTTTGCTTTTTTTAGAACATTTCAAATCTAATTTGGTCCACTGACTGCAAAGACCGCCCGCTTCTCTCAATATCAAGCATCGTATAAGAAATCCGGGGGTTGCTAGTTCGATAATCGGGCTAGGCTTCATATCTTCGTGACAACTAATCGCGGGCATTGAATTTTATGGCCATTTGTCTTATAGCTGATAGGAAATCGTATGGGGCTTGTGACCCATCCTCTCAAATTAAAATAATAAATAAAAATTGTTAATGAATGCGTTAAAGAGTCTCATCAGTATCTTATTCATAGTCAAGATGATTGATGTATGATAACTACGTTCAAGTTTAAACTAAACGTGAATGAGTACTTCACATATAATCTTAAGAGCTGTGTACACAGATTAAATTAAATCTTATCAAAATTTTGAATAGCTTTAAAGTTAGAGAAATAAACAAATAAATCTGATTATAAAGTTTGATTGTAAACATGTTTGTTTTAAATTTTAAACTAAATTAGATACGAGGGCACTATTAAAAGAATAATGTTTTTCAGCAATAGTTTTTTTTAGGTTTTTTGTTTGTTTGTTTGTTTGTTTTTTATTCCATTGACATACCTTTTAATAAATAAACATATATTTTAAAACTCTAGAAAAAGACAACCCTCAATATTTTTTATGGGAAATTATTGAAAGTGCAGCGTTTCTCAATCTAACTCTTATGTTATTAGAACCAAATCCTCCAAAGAATCATAAATATAAAATTGAGAAATCTTGATAAAGGGAAGGGTCTCGAGAGCAATGGAAAAACAAAAAAATGTTTGATAGACTCTGTTGATGAGATTTAATAGTGCACCATAACTCACGCCTGCATGCACCGGTTTCATTGAACACGCTGTGCCAACATGTATTCGTAGTTAAAAAAATCAATAGGTTTTTCTAATCTTTATACAGTATCAAGCCTGGTTTTTTTTATATTTTAATACTCAGTAAGAGTCTTTTTGTGTTTTTGTTTTATATTTCAGTTTCAGATTTTTTTATTTATCTTTTGTATTAATTAATTAATTAATTAATTTATTTATTTATTTATTTATTTATTTATTTATTTATTTATTTGTTTGTTTGTTTGTTTGTTTGTTTGTTTGTTTATTTATTTATTTATTTATTGATTTATTTATTTATTTATTATGTGTGTCTTGGTTTGATTTGGTTTTTTACAAAAAATGTATATTTATATTCATTGTTTTATGATATAAATTCAGAAAGATCACAAATTATACTCGCTTAATCTTTGCAGAATTCAAACTATCTACAATAGGCACAACCGGAATCACTCAGCATGGAGGGAATGCAAGTGCAAATCAACAGCATAAATATACCAGTAAACCCACCGCTCACTCAAGTTCACTCAAAGAGGCTAGAAATAAAACTTCCCACTCTATAGCAACAATAAGAACAGCTCAATCTACAAAGACATCTACAGTAAATTTAAATTCCACAACATTGAAACATTTTTCAATGTATAAAAATCAACCTTATACTTCAGTTCTACCTGATGGTTCTTCCAATGTTAGACTACATACAACTAAAGGATACAATGCAACAACCAGGTCCATGGCAGCAATTAACAGTTCGCGTGATGGTTCTTCAGCGACTCGAAATATATCGTCGTTGAACAATACACAGTCAAGTACAATCGAGAAGACAAATGATGGTGCAAAAGGTACTGAAAATTTTTTTGTTTGTTTTATTTTAAGAATATAACATCATAGGATGTTATAACAAACTTTTCATTATAGTACATATCTGATCCATCATGCACCGGCGCTATATGAGGTTGAAGGTGGCTTACATTCTTTAAAAAATAAACACACTCAAACAAAACGAGCTTGTAACATTTGAATTTGTCACATGCAAGGCGACTTTTAACGTCCTTATTTTTGCTATGATTCTATTCCATTATTAAAGTTTTTTATATTCATACTTTAAAATTAGTTATTCAATTATAATGCTTATGAAAAAATTCAGTCGTACATTTCATTTTCATGGATAAATCAGCGATATCAGTTTCTTTTTCTAATGCGGCATCCTATGGTACTAAGTCTTGTCATACTGCATTGAAATGAAGGTTGACATTGCCCTGTTCTAGAGACCTAGGTTTAAAATTATGACATAGCTGTCCTTATAATGAAGCTTTTTAATGAAGCATTTTATAAATTTCAGTCAATGTCGGTGTCGTAATAGGATCGGTATGTGGATCTCTGGTTGCTGTAGCAATTTTAGCAGCTATCATTCTATTGTTACAAAGAAAAAAGCGGGGATTTACTGTGGAACCAGACAATTCATCAGCAAAATAAACTGTTTATGGATAATGAGCAGTCTAAATTAAGCCAGTGTTACAGAACTGAGAAGCACATTCTAATCGCCATATTCACAAAATTGCAATTCTGTTCAATTAACTTATATGTATGCTGTTACCTTTTACATATATAAAGCATATTAACATCATATTGACAATTGTGTGTTTGTTAAGCTTGTAGCATTTATCATATACTGCATCTAACAACTCTTCTTCTTCTGTTACTTCCTTAACAATTTATTTGCCCCTATCCCCTTAAATAACATCTCTTTTTAATGATTATTATTATTATTATTATTATTATAATTTTTATTATATTTTTTATTATTATTATTATTATCATTATTATTATTATCATTATTATTATCATATTGATTGATTGATTGATTGATTGATTGATAAAGTTTCTAGACAATAAGAAATCAGAATATTCTTGTATGTTTTAGAACTTTTGACCTCTTTTTAAACTGAAATGTATTCAATATTGATAGAACTATGATGTTGATCGGTATGAGAATAATTGTGGATATTGCTGGAGTTTGTTTGGAATTAATCATCCTGTATAAGACAAACAATTAAAATGTTGTTACAATACCCCAAAAATGTCTTAAAGTAACATTTAACACATCAAAATGAAAATTGTGAGTGTATTTGACAAGGTCATATGGAATTTAAATTTTGTCATACATTTTCTCAATGCATTTTTGTTACACAAAAACAATCAATTCTTCTTGTGACCCACGGGACATTCTATAAATTACCTTTTAATAAGTTTTATTCACAAGACCCCTTGTTGATAGTGTTTATTCTTCCGATATACTGCCGATTTCTTTGCAACCGAACAACACTTACCAAACTACGATAACACTTCCTAAAAGTGTATCCAAACTTCAAATTCCCATTGATATCAAATAAAACAACTAACAAAGGTAATTGTTATAAACGGTTATTATCTTATAATTGCGAGGCTTAATTCTACTTAGACTTTCTGTTCTAAAAATTCAAGTTCATGTTTTGTCCCAAATTTTCAATTTCATTATCATTATACAATTATTGCCAACGTCATGTTTTTAAACTAAAGTATTGTAAATATGTAGGTTAAGATTAAAAGCATGACACTGGCAAAATGTTATTATTCTGTCATTTAAATGGCGTTAGAACTTTGTGTTTTTGAAACAGTTCTAACATATCTCCCTGATTAAAATACTAAAAATAGCAAACAATGATCTACTTCAACTAGTCTAAAACATTCGAACTTTAAGTATGTTACTCGTTTTATCGAAGAATTCCTGATCAGAATCTGAACAATTATTAAAACATTTGTTAAAATATACCATTATGTAACAATGTAAGTAAGTCACATAAACCGAATAGGAGGTACTAATTAAAGTGATTGTTATTAAGCAAAAGAGGATTCTAAAAAAAAAGTCAGAATGCAGAAATATGTATTTTAAAAGCTCGTTAGCTAAAACGAAATTTATTAATTATAGTGATTTATTAAATACCATTTATTTGCATTGACTCTGTCGAAAGCCTTTAGCCTAGACAGGCGTTTTTTCCAAAGGAAATGAAAATTTGCATAAAAACTGCGATAAAGTTGCAGGAATTGTATCAATGTTGTAAAATATCGATTTTTTTTTTCAATTTTTTTTCTTACAAAGTGTTTAGGTGAGTATTAATGGCCAAATTTTCCTTACCTTTATTAAATCGATGATATTTATCTTGAACCTACTTTAGTTCTGATTATTTCGAGATAGATCTATATTTTTTGCAAAAGCACTTGAAACGCGCTGATCTTTGCTCTTATGTTTTATCTGAATGTCCTCCTTGGTGTGTTGAAAGCGTCATGTTAAATACTTGTAATGGGATATGCAATGGCTTTATTCGGTCTTGATAATCAAGTACAGTGATTGAAGAATCAATGGTAAAAAAGGAAAAAAAAATAATCTAAATCGGTACACAACGGACGAATACATATCAAAATGTATATGATGCCAGAAAGTTCCGGAATTAATTTCATTAAGAAATTGGAGTGCTTGTCAGTTATCGCAGCCTTGATTTTGTTGACATCTATAAATCCTCTAAAGGACCTTTGTGCAAATGTTGGTCCACACAACAATGAAACTCTTAATAAAGTTTGTGATTGGAGTACTTGGTACCCATGGCATTGTGAATGCTGTAGCATCAATCAGTTTCAATTTAGAAAACGCGCGATTTGTTGTGAGAAGACGGTGAAGCTACCCGAGTGTTTGCAAAAGTGTAATTATTCGGAGAAGAGCGACACATCTTACAAGAATTGCAGTACAGAATGTACCACGAACGCTGGACTAAAGTGTCAAGAGACCGCACCTTTGAGTTTATTTGCGTCGACATCTTCACCAAGTAATGTAGGATTTAAGTTGTCTTCATCCACTAGAGATACTCTCAATTATCTCGCTCTTCTCCATTTTTGTTTCAAGTATAACATATCTATATAACTAAAGTGACATTATGCCCATTCAAGGGTATATACTGAGTGAACAGGTGAGAGTCAAAATAAGCTTTTATATTGCCATATTTTCTTTTGATTTAATAATTTACTTCACGTAAACAAGAAATAACCTCTGGATCCAAACGGAATTTCTGTAAAGCTCAATTAGAATTTACCTGTAACGTTCATTTTATAAAAAAGTGGGGCAGTCTTTTTTACACTTCAGGCAGATTTTAAATGTTATCCTATACATTTTCCAATATAAACTAATGGACAAACACCATTTTAACAGTCAATCTTTTGAAATAAAAAGTAAATTCAGCTTATCTTGACTTTGAAAATGTGAGCATAATGTCACTTTAATTCAACGAATGTCGTTGTCTTCCGTGGATCGCATGCTTCAAGTCGACACGATTTTAGTTCATCCATGTAAATTAGCCGCTTATCTGATTCTTTATAAATCACGGAAAGTTGAGAACTATGAGTAGATCTCGAAATCTTCAACAAACAGTTTTCATTTTCAGTTAATTATTCTCAAATACAAATTAATACAATATTTCAAGTTCTTAACATTCTTTGTTTTCTTCAGAATTTTTTTAAAAACAAACGGAAAGCATGTTAGATTATTTATATTCTGTTCCATGTGTAAGAATGATAATGGGAAATTAAGAATAAGATTTTTTAAACTATTCAAGTACCAAATATCAAAGAATATAAAAAAAACGTAATTGCGAAAGGCTAAAACTTCAGTTGCTTTTTAAATGAATACTCATAATATGGCATAGGTAACTTGTTAGCATTCCCAACCTTGTTTTTGTTAATGTCTATAACTTAGTCGGTTTAATTTGGATATTTCACACACATGAATTCCAAGCAAAAGCAATCCATTTTTTCTTAGTGATTGTTGAAAATGACTGTAAGATTGATGTTAGAAGTGTCTATTTTGTGATGCTAGAGGAAGCCATCGGACCAGATGTTGAAAAATGTATTTAATAAGGGATCAAAAGATTTAAGTCACTGTACTGTTGGAGCAGTACCTCGAAGCGCTTGCAGAAATCACGATAAAGTAGAAAAATGTAGGGTTTTTTGTTTGTTTGTTTTTTTTTCGACTATTTTAATATTTTTCAGTCATTATCGTATTTCTGTCGGTGTGAAGAGATGAATTAGATGTCAAAAAATACATTTCGGCGGGTGAAAATGCAAGTTCTTAAAACTTAATCATTCTAACGCCTTGTCCGGTTTATACCAGAATACGGTATTTAGTGTTGTGCTCCAACACCTTATTTAGTCCTACTCTTTATTAAATATATATGATATTATTTTTATATGTTACATATGATACAAAGAATATTCACTTTATAGATGTAGATATCAAACGATCGTCCGTAACCACAGCATCCCTTGTCACTGATACGAAAAGGAATACAAGTAAAATTCAACTTGATCAATTAAACACAGAAACATTCAATACATCATCCAATAAGGGACACAGAGCAACAACGAAGTACAACCCAGCACTTAATAGTTCAAATGACGGTTCTTTTGAGTATGTTACTAATTCCCACTTTGCTGCGCTTCCAACTACATCACACCTGTTGACGAACAATACACAGTCGGAGTATAGTAATGCTGCAAAAGGTATTGATTGGATGGTTTCTTTTATTCTATTTTTAGAAAATGAATCCTTTTTTAGAATGGTAAATTATATTTTTAGAATGATTTTTAATTTTGATAACTGTACCCTAGCCCGCGATGCACGATGTTAAGATGGTGGAGACGAGATTATGTTGTGTGGTTCAATGGTGAAATTTCGTTGTTAAACATAACGTTTTTCTCGTAAATTCATCGCGTTATCATCATCGCATCATTGCGTTTTCACCATCACCTCATCGTGTTTTTACTATCGTAGCCTAAGCATACCTGTTTTTTACAGATTCTACATTTGATATATTATAAGTACGAAAAGAGTTATAGTTCGAGTGTATTACCGGTTATCATTAACACATAGGTAAAATTCTACATATATAGTAAAATTCATTACTCAAAACGGACCTCCCTGTCCTTTATAGTTTAGTACATTTGAGAAAAAACGACGGTCCGCAAATTATTAAATAGATTGCTCTTTTACTTTAAATCAGACGACATTAGTTGGTAAAGGATTAAAAGCTTTGAATGTTTTAATACATAAAACAAAACATTATGCTGTAAAACCCTCTGTTATGTGCCAAGTATTTGACGCTTTTGTTGCCGCCACCTTGAATTACGGATGCGAAATATGGGGCTTTGGAAAATCGAAAGAAATAGAACGTGTTCATTTAAAATTTTGTAAACAATCATTAAATGTGAAGATGTCAACATGTACAAATAGTATTTATGGAGAGTTAAGTCGATTTTCAATGTATATAAATAGATATGTTAGAATTATTAAATTTTGGTGCAAAACCCTATCAACGCAAAATATCTTGATAAGAAAAGTTTATTGTCTCCTTGAAATAAAGAATAATAAAAATAATTCGAGTTATAATGTTTAATCTCTTTAAGATGAATACGGATGATCCTATGTATGGTACAATCCAGGTTTAGTTGACTTGACAAATTTTCATGTATTGTTTAAAGGAAGAGTAATTGATGTTTTTAAACAAAAATGGGAACGTAAGTTATCTGCCAGTGAAGTAACATATGGATACGTATATATTAAATATATTTTTGAATTTGAATCTTATATAGGCATTTTACCTAAAAAGTTTAGAATTGCTACATCCAGACTGCGTTTATCATCACATAAACTGAGCGTGTGTGTGTATGTGTGCGTGCGTGCGGGCGGGTGGGCGTGCGTGTGCGTGTGTATGTGTGCGCGTGTGCGTGTGAGTGTGTGCGTGTGCGTGTGTGTGTGTGTGTGTGTGTGTGCGTGTGCGTGTGCGTGTGCGTGTGCGTGTGTGTTTGTGTGTGTGTTGGTGTGCGTGCGCGTGTGTGTGTGTGTGTGTGTTGGTGTGTGTGTGTGTGTGTGTGTGCGTGTGTGTGTTTGGTTACTTTCTTCCACTATGTTATACACTAATTTCAATGTTTCCATGTATGCCATTACCATGTGATTGTAAATTTGTATTATATATTATTAGTTATAACGAAATACTTGTAAAAGTTTAAATTAATAAAATATCTATCTATCTCAATAAAAAAACACATACGTGTACATTGAGAGGTTAAAATGCTTCTTAGCATGATTCGCATTTTTAATTTGAAAAAAAAAAACAAGAAAACATGCGATCTTTATTGAAAATACAACGCTGTTTATAAATGCAAACGCATCTGTTTAAATTTACACAGTGTTATGTAACTAAGGACATATATTCTTTGATATATTTTTTATTTGCTTTAGTATATCTATACACGTATCAAAAAGATACGATATTTGATATCATTATATTTATCAATTTTCCTATTTTTATATAATTGAATGAATTGGAATATTTTTGTTAAGTTAGTTGCTTCAATAGCAGATTCTGTCTGCGTGGTGTGTTTCCAGATCATCAGGGCTTGGTGATAATGCCGGACTCGGATGATGTTATAACAGGCTCGAAGTCTAGCAATTATCCGTCTTGCTTTTATTGTCATCTTCAGATTAATTTTGTTTTAAAATCATTTTACCATTAAATGATTGTTTACCACCAGAAGAACAATAATGGTTCAGATAATAACGATTTCTTTACAGAACTACCTCAAAACATATGGATATTAATGTAATTTTGAGCAATAGGTCGAAACCTTCTTTGGCGATTTTCATTAGCTGTTGTTTGCATAAACCAGTTTAAAATTGCTCATCATTCTGTAATTTCTTTTCAAGAAAACGGGATTGAAATTGGACAAAATCAAAGAACGTAAAATCCTTTAACAAAATTGTCAATTTGTCTAGACTTTTCACGTGATGGGTTATGTTGTACCAAAGTCCTGGCATTACTTATTCAGAGCCTCTGCGAAATCTTGATGCATACTGCGTTTCTGTATGTAGAAAAGAGAAATTCCGCTCCAGTAGGTTAGCTGGCAGTGAGTTACTGAAAAATCTTGGTCTCAAATGAGATAGAATAGTTGGGCTTAGACACCGATAGCATGATGTATTAGACCTCCTGTCTGAGGCTTTTACGTATTACTGGATAGCGATCTAATAGAAAATTAACCAGAAACAACTAATTTTAGTCATTGTCAATCAGTTAGTTGTGAATAAAGAGTCCATATTCACTATCGCATGATACTGTATACTTCTCAGAAACGGTCTTCGTGTAATCATAGAGGGGTGTTGGCTCTCTGTTTGGTACTAGGCGAACTTTAGTCGCCATGCAAATTGTTGAAAAGAAGATGGAAGCGGTAGATAGTGTGGAGCCAAAAAAGAGGAAAATTTAAACACAAAGGTCAAGTGAACAGCACAGGATAATCAGCCTAACTTTTAAAATGATGAACAATAATCATGTGTGTTGGCATAAATTCAATAAACCAGACAACTGCTGTACTAGTGGGGCTTACATATTTGTTTGGTATATTTTTATGTGCTTCCTATAACTGCCCTTTTTTATGCCAATCATGTGGTATGGTATACTACACGAGTGGATTCCTAGGTCCCAACTCAGACATTTTAGGGGGCATTTATAGGAGAGCTGTAACCAAAACCCTAAGTCAAAACGAATGACACGGCATCTGAGTCACCTTTAGACCCACCAACCCCCGTATTGTAGTTAAGGATCAAACAGGTATAAGACTCGTACTCCTACTCCACACTGGATAGTGGGTTTCTGCAGTTGTCTAGGTAAGTCAATCTGATGGTAGTGTCGTGTGAGTAAATAGTGATGATGTGCTTCCTTGGCGATAGCAATTTAGAATGTTTTTTAATATTCACAAAAGGTAGGCCGTAACGGCCCCCTATACCATTCGCAAATCTACTTTTAATTGCAAGTGATACTATCTTTATTGAGCCATTACTATCAATTAATTTATCTTAATTATATATAATTTGCAGCCATATTTTACTATCTTATTTTCTTTAAAACGGTATCCCACATCAGTTATCTTTGTAAATAATTCAAGACAGCGACAGCCACATAAAACTTTCAAATTTTAATTTTGATGGCATGTACATAATTATTTATCTCCATGTCGTCAGTGGTTGAATAAATATCAGATGCTGCTAAAAACCGAAGCACCGACACGGAGCTCCATGCAGCAGGTATGGGTCTGGGTATCTTACGAAAAATAAAAAATCCTCATCTTGGAAGATTGATTATTGAGGTTAGTGTAAGGAGGTGATATACTTATGTTTATTAATATGGGGTCATAATTGCTGTAGAAAAATATTGCTTGTAAATGTACCTTATAACTATCAACGAATTGATATATTGTCTAAATATTTTATGTCTTAGATCACTCAACACAGAGAAGCGCCGGAGGGTAGCGGACAACACATCTCGTGAGGTCATTAGAGGATTAATGGCGTAACAATTATTAATTATACCGCTATTTACTTATAGGATGCATTATTCTTATTATACAGCGTTAATTTGCGGGTTGAAAGAAAGCCATTATGGGCTATGAATGCTGAATCGTGACTGTCTACATTTTCTAAAAACCCGTTTTAATCTTTTGTGGTTAATAAGATTAACTGTTTCAAGAAAATGGTAATAGATTATTTAGTATTATGTAATAAGTCGGGGAAATGATCTTTTTGTTTAGATTTTATACCAGAAACAAATATGCTCGGTTCAATCTTCGCTACTAAAAAAGTCAGGTCAGTTAAAGAAGCATCTTATTATGCTCTATAGTCATAATTAAACACATGTTGACATCTCTAGAAAAGAGTGAAACAATAAATGGGATTTCTGAGGGCTAAGTCGAACCCTATATGACACTTAAACTAAAACTATTCCAGCAAATCTAAAATCCATAAATAATAATTGCGAACAAAATTAGAGCAGCAGTTACAGTTTTAAGTATAAAGGAAGAGGAGGCGACAGGGGGAAAAAAAAGAACCGAATGCTTAGCATGAGTTTGAATAGACAGATTATTTGGGCAGGACTACAGACGGGCAGGCATGTGGCGCCTCTGTTCATGTATTTGCAGGCCTTGCGAACATTCAGGTAAGCTGCTAACTCGAATAAAAAGTAGATGCACTAACGCGGGATTCACGAACCACCAGCGATTATGGGGAAGTTGGTGTCGAGGCTCAAAGGACCTTATACCAATTGGCCAACGGACCCCATGTGGTTAGCCTTTTGCGCGGTGTGTTGGTTGGGTTTAGTGGTGTCTGGTCAAGTGACTTAATGTGTAGTTAGCTTACCGTTAGAAGCAGGTTCACGGGAGATAATAAGGACGAAATCTCGAAAATTATCCTCGGGTCGAAGAATGTCACAAAAAACAGAATCACTTAAGATACAATGTTCTAAGCGGATTGAAATGAACATCAGTTGGAGTCAAAGTTTTTACAAATAGACGTGAAAGGGCGTGGCTGCAGAATAAATCAAGTGGATAGTTAATAAATAAGCAGCAACGTCATTGGTCTTATAACTTTATACTTTAAACTAAGTTAACAATCGCCAAAAGTTTTTAACCTGAAGGGGGTAGGGATGTCCACATCGTTTGTTTTTCGTGAATTACAG